TTCAACCGCAAGGGCATCGCCGGCGATTGGCGCAACCACTTCACCGACGCCCAGCTCGCGAGGTTCAACGACGTGATCCGCGCCGCCAACCTCACCGACGAGGTCGCCGCCCGGTACCTCGCCCCGGAGACCGCGGGCGCATGACGGCCCCCGACGACACCCGCGTCACGAAGTTCAGCCACAAGGAGAACTTCACCGCCTACCACCGCGCCGCCCTCGACCTCGCCACGACGGGGCCTCTCGGGCGAGCCCTGGACATCCCCGCCGGCGCGGGCCAGGTCTCCGCGAGCCTCCGCGAGGCCGGCTTCGACGTCGTCTCCGCCGACATCAACGAGTACGACGAGACCTACGTCAAGGCGGACATGACGAAAACCCTCCCCTTCGAGGACGGCGCCTTCGACCTCGTGATGTGCCTCGAGGGCATCGAGCACGTCCTCAACCCGCACGACCTGCTCGGCGAGCTCTTCCGCGTGTGCAAAGTGGGGGGGCGGGTCATCGTCACGACCCCGAACGTCACGATGATGTACTCCCGCCTCCAGTTCCTCTTCACGGGCACCGCCCACCAGTTCCACTTCGCCCAGCTCCGGGACCTCCCGCCGAACGCGATGGACGACCGCTTCCACGTCTCGCCCGTCTGCTTCGAGCGGCTCTGGTACGAGGGCGCCTACTGGGGCGCCCGCGTCGAGCGCCTCGGGGACACCGACCGGATCAAGCGCAAGGCCCTGATGCCCTTCTACCTGCTCATCCAGGCCCTCGGCGCCCCGTGGACGCGCTCGCTCTACACGAAGCGCGCCGAGGCGGCCCACGCCGAGCGGAACAAGAGGATGCACGCCTTCGCGCGCTCGTTCCACGCGATGTACTCCCGCTCGCTCATCGTCGAGTTCGTCAAGGAACGCCACGTTTCGGAACAGACGTAGGCCTCAGGCGACGTCCCGCTTCTGGAACAGCGCCACGCCCAGCGCGACCAGCCCCGTCACGTGCACGAACGAGTACCCCGCGACCATCCCCACGTACCGCATCGGGATCGGGTGCCCCTGCGTCACCGCGTCCACCAGCCAGAAGTACTGCAGGTTCGGGAACACCCCCCACGCGACCCGCACCGGCCAATCGACGTCCGTCGGCTTCAGGAACAGGTAGTCCCCCTCCCGCGGCGGGCGCGGGATATCCAGCCCGCCCGCGTTGACGAAAGTGACGTCCAGGTTGTCGATGGACCGGATCGTGAACGAGGCGTGGTCCGGCCGGCGGACGTCCGCGTCGCGGTTCAGGTCCCCTTCGAACGGCTCGTGCCCGGGCACCACGATGCCGATCCCGGACGGGTTCGACCCGTAGTACACCGACATCCCCGGCTCGAGGAACTGGCGGGGCGGCCCGGAGAGCGTCACCGAGAACTCCGTCATGGTTTCAGAGAGATCGAGATCCGGGTAGACCTCCTGCGTGCTCCCGATCGTCGCCACGATCGTGTTGTCGAACGCGTGACGCCCGAGCAGGTGATTGCTGAGCAGCCCGAGCACGAACGCCCCGGCGCACGTCACGATCGTCATCACCTGCCCCAGGCGCGTCGACACCGCCACCGCCAACGCCGTGAGCACCATGAGCGACAGCACCGCGCAGATCGAGGCGATCATGATCTGCGGCTTGAAGTCCGCGCCGATGCTCTGCAGCGCCCATTCCTTGTCCACGATCAGCGTCACCGCGTACGCCACCACCGATACCGGCAGCATGACGAAGGTCGCCGTCGACGAGAACACCCACCCGAAGAAGTAGTTGCACCACACCCCGATCGCGACCGGCAGCAGCACCGCGAGGCCCCCGAAGAGCACCACCGGCATGTCCACCCGGTCCCGCGCCGTGGACATCACCTCGTGACGGATCGCGAAGAGCAGGGCGACCACCAGGATCGTCACCGCCACCAGGATCGACCCCGCCACCCCCAGGAACTTCCCGATCACGAACACCGGCCGCCCGATCGGCTTGGAGACCACCGTCAGGGCCGTCTTGTTCTCGATCTCACGGGAAACAACCGCCGTGGCGACGAAGGCCGCGAGGAGCGTCCCGATCACCATCACCGTCGCGAGGCCCATATCCAGGAGCAGCTTGTCGTCGGCGGAAACCTCGGTGTCCTCGGTGAATCCGAGTGAATACGCAGAGAGCAGGACGTTGAAGACCTGCGCAACCACGCCCGCCAGGATCAGAATGAAGTAGATCGGCTGGCGGATGCTCTCGATGAACGTGTTCCGCGAGATGGCCAGGAGGAGCCTGAGCATGGGTGGCCGCCAATAGTACAGGGTCGCGCCGCGCTCTTCCGCGACGCGGCCCACTTTTCTCACAAGCCCGTCCGAACCCCGGACGCCCGGTGTGCGTACCCCCTACGCACAGGACGACGCGGAGGTTCTCACGAATCCCCCGCAAGTGGACAATGAGGCCGGTTCAGGGGACAATGCCCGCTTCCCCACTCGCGCCGTTTCGCGCACGGGCCATGCGCGGCGTACGCACGGGTATGCCCCACGACTCAGACTTCCGGAGTGCGAAGCCGATTCTCGGCCTTTCATGGGTGAAGCCATCGTGACGACCGACCGGAGCACCGAGCCAGGACAGCTATGAACGCAGATCAGCTCTCGTACAAACGCGCCACGTCGGTCAGCCTCATCGGGCTCGCCATCCAGCTCGTCCTCGCCACGACGCTCATCGTCTATTCGCGCCTCGGCGCCGACCCCGCCGCCTTCACCGCCGCCATCGCCATGTTCCTCGGGCTCCCCATCTGGGCGACCCTCGCGGTGGTCTTCTACCAGCACAAGCTCGAGCGTCTCGAGGCCCTCGAGGCCGAGATGTACGCCGGATCGTCCGCCGCCGAGGCCTCCGTCTTCGAGGAGTCGGGCGGCGACCTCAACGTCCAGGCCGCCAAGCTCGCCTGGCTCCATAAGTGGTTCCTCCCCATCGTCTCCCTCGCCGTGGGCGTCGCGTACGTCGCGCTCGGCGTCGTCCGCTTCACCGGGCGCGAGATCGCCACCGAGGACGCCATCTACGCCGCCCCGCCCGAGACCGGCTGGGCCATCGCCATCGGCGTCGGCATCGCCGCCATCGGCTTCGTCTTCGCCCGCTTCGTCGCGGGCATGGCCAAGCAATCCGCGTGGATGCTCCTCCACGCCGGCAGCGCCACCTCCGTCCTCGCCGCCATCCTGGGCGGGCTCGTCGCGCTCGCCCACTTCATGCACGCCGCGATCAAGGAGGACGCCCTCCTCGAGATCCTCCCCGCCGTCGTCTCCGTCGGCATGGTCGCCCTGGGCGTCGAGATCTTCCTCAACTTCGTCCTCAACCTCTACCGCCCCCGCACCGCCGGCCAGACGATGCGCCCGGCCTTCGATTCCCGCGTCCTCGCCTTCGTCGCCGCGCCGGACCGCTTCGCCAAGTCCATCTCCGACGCCATCAACTACCAGTTCGGCTTCAACGTCAGCTCCACCTGGTTCTACCGCCTCCTCAGCCGCACCATCATCGCGCTCGCCATCCTCTGCGCCGCCCTCATCTGGGCCATGTCCGCCGTCGTCATCGTCCAGCCGGGCGAACGCGGCGTCCTCGTCAGCAACGGCGAGTTCGTCCGCGAGGTCGAGCCCGGCCCCGTCTTCAAGGCCCCCTGGCCCTTCGCGAAGGTCGTCACCTTCCCCGCCGAGTCCGTCAACGAATTCGTCATCGGCGAATCCGTCGAAGAGGACGGGCCCATCCTCTGGACCAAGTCCCACTCCGCCAACCCGCTCTACGTCATCGTCCAGCCCACCGCCACGACCCTCGACGAGAGCGAGGCCGCCTCGAGCCTCTCCCTCCTCGTCGCCGAGATCCCGGTCCACTACGTCGTCCGCACCGGCGAGCTCCGCAGCTACCTCGATCTCGCTCAGGACGGCCCCGAGTCCGACCCCGACCGCATGCGCCGCGAGCTGCTCCGCTCCATCGCCTCGCGCGTCGCCATCGAGCACCTCTCGACCCTCAACGTCGACGAGGCCATCGGCTCCGGACGCATCCCGCTCGCCGACGAGCTCAAGGCGAAGATCCAGGCCCGGTTCGACGCGATCAGCGCCGGCGTCCGCGTCACCTTCGTCGGCATCGCCGGGCTCCACCCCAACGAAGAGGTCGCCCCCGCCTTCGAGAAGCTCGTCGCCGCCGACCAGAAGAAGCAGGCTGAGATCGAGAAAGCCGAGGCCGACGCCATCCGCCTCCTCGCCGCCGTCGCCGGCGAGGTCGACAAGGCCGAGCGCATCCTCGAGGGGCTCAAGCGCCTCGAAGCCCTCGAGCAGGGCCGCGCCGACGACGCGATCATCGCCCAGCAGGAGCAGGAGATCATGGAGATGATTCTCGACGCCGGCGGCCAGGCCGCCGCGAGCATCGCCTCCGCCAAGGCCGACCGCTGGACGCGCCACATGGACGCGCGCTCCCGCCTCGCCTCGAGCACCGGGCAGATCGCCATGTTCCGCGCCGCCCCGGAGCCCTACCTCGCCTCGCAGCTCGTCCAGGCGTACCGCGAGCTCTTCGCGACGAGCAGGCTCCAGATCACGCCGTTCGACACGCGCATCGAAGTCAATCAGGAAGAAGAACAAGCCGCCATCAGCGGGTTCCAGGACGCGCTCCAGGGACCGGGCGAAGACGGAAACTAAGGACAGGAGTCACCGGAACATGCGAAAGCTGGTGCTGGTCGGAATCGCGCTCATCGTCGCTCTGGCGTTCGCGCTCTACATGGTCACCTACACCGTCTCCTACACGGACCGGGCCGTCGTGACCACGTTCGGACGCGCCGGAGACGGGAGCGTCATCGAGGACCCGGGCCTCAAGTGGAAGCTCCCCGCACCCGTGCAGAGCACCACCGTCTACGACACGCGCGTCCGCTTCCTCGAGGCACGCCTCGAGCAGCAGCAGACCGCCGACGACCGACAGATCGTCGTCAAGGCCTTCCTCACCTGGCGCGTCGACGACCCGCTCACCTTCTACCAGCGCTTCTCCGGCAGCGCCGGCTCCGAGACCCGCGAGCACTACCGCAAAGCCGAGGACACACTCACCTCACTCCTCCGCAGCGCCGTCGCGGAGATCAGCCGTTACCAGCTCGGCGAGCTCTTCGCCCCCACCCAGGGCGCCTCGAAGCTCGAGGACCTCGAGAACGCCATCCTCGCCCGCATCCGCGGAGGCGAGAGCGGCTCCATCGCCGACTACGGCCTCGCCATCGAGATGGTCGGCATCAACGCCGTCGAGCTCACCAGCGATACCACACAGGAAGTCTTCAACCGCATGAAGAGCCGGCGCGAGAAGCTCGCCGCCAAGGCCGAGTCCGAGGGCGCCGCCGCCGCGACCGCCATCCGCGCCGAGACCGAGAGCGACGCACGCCGCATCCGCGCCTTCGCCGAGTTCCGCGCCTCCGAGCTCTCCAATGAGGGCGGCATCGAGGCGGCCGCGTTCCTGAGCCAGCTCCAGGAAGAGCCGCGCCTCGCCGTCTTCATGCAGTTCGTCGACCTCATGCGCGAGGGCTTCGGCCGTCGAGCCACCTTCGTCCTGCCCACCGACATGCTCGGCATCTCCATCTTCTCGCCGGACGTCCTCCGAGACATCCAGAGCGGCCGCCTCCCGGACATGGGCATCGGCGGCGAGCGCAGCGGGGGGACCGGCGAGTGAACGAGCACGATCACCACGATCCCCAGAACACGCCCAACGAGCAGGACGTCCGGGCCATGCCCACCGAGTCCCGCCGCGAGGCGTCGCTCGTCCTGCGCCAGGACAACGTCCGCGAGCAGCGCGCCGTCTCCATGGAGGCCGCCAACAAGTCTCTCGCCGACGCGCTGAAGTTCACCTACCGCATCATCCAGGTCCTCATGATCGTCCTCGCGGGCCTCTTCGTCTTCTCCGGCTTCCAGCAGGTGAACGAAGGCGAGACCGGCCTCCGCATCGAGTTCGGCAAGCTCAAGGGCGGCGCCCTCTCCCCCGGGTTTCACTTCTCCCTGCCCTACCCCATGGGCGAGCTCGACATCGTCGACACACGCCAGCAGTCGCTCGTCATCGACGAGACGTTCTGGCCCAACGTCCCGGACAAAACCCGCGGCCTCGAGCAGCTCGGCTACGGCGGCATCAAACTCATCACCGGCGAAGACGGATCGCTCCTCACCGGCGACGGCAACATCGTCCACACCCAGTGGTCCGTCCTCTACCGGCGTGACCAGCCCGTCGAATTCGCCGCCAACCTCCACCCGGACGCCGAGGAGCCGCTCGTCCTCGCCGCCGTCGAGCGCGCCGTCGTGCGGGTCGTCGCGGAGATCAGCATCGACGAGCTGCTCAAGCCGAGCTCCGGCAACGCGGGCGACTCGAGCATCGAGGCCCGCGTCCGCGCGATCGCGCAGGACGCGCTGGACCGGCTCAACTGCGGCATCCGCATCGACGAGACCGTCCTGAGCGCCAAGAGCCCGCCCGTCCGCGTCCGCGCCGAGTTCGAGTCCGTCAACAAGGCGGTCGAGACCTCCAACAAGGCCATCGCCGACGCGTCCAGCGACCGCTCGGTCACGCTCACCTCTCTCGCCGGCACCGCCTACGAGCCCCTGCTCGACCTCATCAATGAGATGGAAGAGGCCCGCGCCCTGGGCGAGGACGCCCGGGCCGAGCAGCTCCTCGCCACCGTCCGCCAGCTCTTCGACGGCCGGTTCAACCGCGCCGGCGCCGTCGAGATCGCCGGGCGTACCTACCGCGACGTCAACTTCTCCGGCGAGCTCAGCACCCTCATCGCCAACGCCAACCAGGAGCGCTCGGTCAAGATCGCCAGCGCCCGCGCCACCGCCCAGCAGTTCCAGGCCCAGCTCGAGCAGTACCGCGCCAACCCGCGCGTCTTCCTCTCCACCGAGTACACCGACGCCTTCAAGAGCCTCCTCGAGAACGACACCGTCTCCGTCTTCTGGCTCCCGCCCGGCACCGACCCGCTCGTCTGGAAGCTCACCACCGACCCCGAGCACGAGCGCGAGATCGAGCGCGAGATGAAGCGACTCGAGGTCCTCCGGACCGGCGCCCAGCGCGCCAGGGACATCGAAACCCTCAGAAGCCAGAAGTAATCCACGACCGGGGGAGACCGCATGGCCACCCAGACCGCGAACGCCAACCCAAACGCCCGCGCCACTCAGGACGCCATCGTCCGCGCCAACGGACTCACCAAGATCTTCAAGGACTTCTGGCTCCGCGACCGCGCCCGCGCCGTCGACGGCATCGATTTCGAGATCCGACGCGGCGAGATCTTCGGCCTCCTCGGGCCCAACGGCTCCGGCAAGTCCACCACCATCAAGATGATCCTCGGGCTGCTCAAGCGCACCCGCGGGCGCATCGCCGTCTTCGGCAAGCCGCCCACCGACGTCGCCATCAAAAAGCGCATCGGCTACGTGCCCGAGGAGTCCTACCTCTACCCCTTCCTCAACGCCCGCGAGACGCTCGACTACTACGGCAAGCTCTTCCACCTCTCCTCGAAGGTCCGCGAGAAGCGCATCGACGAGCTCCTCGACATGGTCGGCCTCACCGGCGTCCAGTTCCGCCAGGTCCGCGAGTACTCCAAGGGCATGCAGCGCCGCAT